CCTGCTGAAACAAAAAAAAAACAAACCTAGCTGTGGATGCTCTGCTAATTAATGGAGCAGGATTTGAATCTCTCCTGAGCAACCGCATAAGCGCACAGCTTCCAGGGAACACTGGCTGGAAGGAGCTAGGGGAGCCCATTAACGGCTGTATTAACAGAGATAAACAGTGTGACCCTCTTGTCTGGCACAGCTCGGACCGTCCCTGAGTTAACTCCTGTTGGGACTGAAGAGCAGATCTTTTAGAGACACAAACAACCTGGGGTTTAAAACTATCCGTGACAGAGACGCCACATTGTTCTAATGGTTCCTTACCCACGCTGTTAAAAACTTGCACCGTATTTCCCTTCTAAATTTATCCACTTCAGCTTCCAGACACTGGATCTTGCTAGACCTTCCTCTGCTGGCCTGAAGAGCCCAATGTCAAATTCTGTTCCTCGTGCACAGAATAGACCGGGACCCATGACACTCCTTGGCTTTCTCCTTAATAAACAAAACAGGCCTCACTGCTTGAGTCTCTCATCATAAGGCCTGGAGCTGAGGTCCCTGCCTGTCACTGGCAAGTCGCCTGAATGGACAGGAACAGTTCTGTGGTCCATTTAGAAAAGAAGCTAAGCCCAGAGTCTCAGCCACCCTTCCCCCTCTTGGTAATGCAGGATCCAGCATCAGGTGAGATGCCGCCGGGCCCACAAAGGTTGCTGCCTCCGCCCACAGCCATCCCTCGCTCGTTGCACGGTGGTACGTAGAATCTGAAAGGCGCTGGGTGGTTGCTTACATCGGTGTCACCTGCTGCCACCCTGATCCAGGAGCGTTTTGCGTTTGCGTCAGGGCACGTCTACCCAGCAGGGCTAACGCCGAAAGTAGCGACGCCCCTTGAGCTACGTCAATTGCGGAGAGGACGTCGAAAGGGCTTTTGGGGCTGCCAGCCAGAAGTCCGTGAAAGAGCACTCTTCCTCCGACTTTCCTTCCTTCTCGTACAACGAGGATTCCAGGAGTCGGAGGGAGGAGTCCTCCAGCCTGCCGTGATGTCAAAATAAAGGCTTGTAGTGTGGATGCGCACTGCGTTATTTCGGAATAATGTCAGTTGTTCTGAAATCACGCTGCGGTGTAGACATACCCTCAGTGCCCGCGCCAGGATCAGCCCCACTTCTAAGCCGCTGAACACGGTGCCACACGGAGGGTGTGCCTGAGGATTGCACAACGGGAAGCCCAAACTCCGCACCCCCAGAGACACAACCCCGCAGACGCAAGGCCCCGGATCCACTTCTGGGACCAGCCAAAACAGCTGGTGATCTAGGGGGAATAGCAACCCCGTCCCTCCCCCGTGCGAAGGGTCAGTCTCGCTAGGCGGAGGGATGCGTTCACACCGAAGACCATGATTCCCTGGGAGCGTGGGCCAGAAAGGCCTTCCCCTGGGGAAAAGCACTGCTGCTTCTCAGAGATATTTACAAGTGATGGCAACCCCCCAGGGGCTCCGGCCGGCCTTTTGCTGAGAATGATAGAATCCCAGAATCCCAGGGCTGGCAGAGACCTCAGGAGGCACCGAGTCCAGCCCCCTGCCCAAAGCAGGCCCAGCCCCAACTCAATCAACCCAGCCAGGGCTTTGCCAAGGCGGGACCTAGAAACCTCTAGGGATGGAGATTCCACCCCCTCCCTAGGGAAC